GGGGGGGGGGAGGGGGTGGAGAGCGCGAGCCGGGTGGGACGAGATGCAGGGGGCGGCTGGCTTCAGGTGCCCAGGTCCGATCTGAAAAACATCAGCCTCTGTATCACTCACCACCCTGGAGTTTTTACACTCATGTCCTGGTCCGAAGCCACACACGTCCTCGATAACCCCGAGTGCCCTATGTCCTTCTGTTTTGCCGCCCTGCGAGAAGCTCTTCACCCTGGTGCTTCTCAAAGTGCTCGAAGCTTATGAGTGGAGGCCCGTCTGCGCGGGAAAAACTACCCCATGAACTGTCTGCCCTTAAAAATTTTAACAGACTATTTGTGTTCATTTCTGCATTCTGAAAACGTGGACCAAAAAGACAGCTTGCTGTGGCGATGCACTGCTCTTGCGCTCCATAGTCTTGGCAGCGTCAATGAAGGTCACAGACCTCGGTGATGAGTTGACATCTCAGCGCCCACAATCTGCCCTTTCCTCTATGGCCTCATTTCCTCACGTTTGCACTCGGTAATAAAAATAAAAAATAAGACAGAAGAGACCGAAAGCCCTCGAGATGCAGGGAAGGGTCTTTACCTTTCAGATGCAAGTGAAAAGAGAACCCCACTTCGAAGCTCCTTTTCACCCAGTCCCAACAGTGATGGTTGGGGGTGAGGAAGATGTAGTACAGCACATCCTTAGCACACTGCAGTGAAACACAAACAGGGTTGTTAGCACCACTCTGCTCTCGCCAAACACAAGACAACAGACAACCTCCTCTCCGCAGAGCAGCTTTTCACTTTTGAAGTGGGTGTCTTGCTTGATCGGTGGCCAGCACAGAAGACAGCACAGTTTCAAAGCACGTTATTCATCGCTCCACACTTTTAAAAGTCTAATTATAAATGTTGGTCGTTCCCACTGCAGTAGACCCAGGAAAGACAGGAAGGGGTGATAACCGCTGCTCTTTCGAGGTGAATTGACAAGACCATAGCCATTCAGTGGAACTGTAAAGGAATTTGATTCAAAGAGCTTTCTGCTACACTGTTAATTTGACAAATCAAGGCAAAACTACTGCATGTCTTTGTCTATATGATAATAGATGATAGACTAGAAACCATGTTATGGTGAATGACCTAATTGCAATGGAAGTTGCAGGAATTATTTCCTGATTGTGAAAAGGACGATAAAGAACTATACCTTTTCCCCAACACTTACTTTATATGATAACCTAGTTTTCTAAAAAAAAAAATCAGTAATCTCCTATTATCCCCTGGCTGCTAAAAACTAGATTACAATCTATCCTTAAGACTGCTTTGCTTTATCGATTTCCCATAAGTCGTACACCAGTAATAAAGAAGCATCTTTTCTAAAGCAGACAGGCTTTTGATCACTAAAGATGAATACATGCACTGAATCCAAGCACTGCGAGGCAACTCATAATTGTCCCAGACGGATTTTAAAAAGATGAAGGACAATACAAAGCTATTCTGTGACCCCTGACCCTAAAAGAATGTTTGCATTCTAGAACGGAATGCTTGAGAACCAGTCCTCCTAATTCTTGAGTTGAATCAAGGGTTCAGATAATGGGTGCCCCCCTTCACATTTGCTATCATGCTTCTACATGGTGGTCTAGTAACGTATAAATCTCAATATGAATAATAAGACGGTCTTCTCCATTTTGGGAGATGCAGTCTGTTAAGAGGAGATGACAACTGGAATGCCCCCTACCCAGTATGTGACATGATTACATAGCCATCACACAGCAGGCACAGAGGGAGAAAATGACATCTCTGCCTTTCGCTGGCACTGGGAAGTTCTGCCTATTGTTGTGTTTGGCCCATGCAATCTGAACATGAAGCCTAAGGGCAAAAACTGGGGTGCCTCCAGCCCCTGCTATGTCTATTTATGTCACAGAGAATCTCAACCCCACAACTCACCCCAATTTCCCAAGATGAGCCCTTCGGCAAAGCAGAGACCAGTTTAAAAGCAAAAAGTCCCACAGGACATCTTTGAGGGACCATACTTAAATAATTCTTAAAGAGCCCTTGAATAAAAACAGGCTGATAAAACAGATGAACAGAGTGACATCAAGTTCATGTAAAAAGGATGACCAACCACCACCTTGTCCATTTATAAAGTAGAAACCTATTGCTTGATGAGAGTTGATTGAAAGCCTGAAACATTTAGCTGATGAAACGCGGTCATGTATGTATGGGGTTGCATGTCGAGATGACGAGTTTTAATTCAAATCAAGGCCTACAGAACTGCATCACCTTCGACAACAAACTGAGCACGTACTTGCCTGGCTCACCCTCTGCGATTTACTAGATCTCGTTCTGCTGAGACCGATGTGGTTCAACCGGATAGTCCCAATACTGACAGCTCTAGGAGCCTGCAGCCTGGGGGACATATCAAGTGTCACACAGCAGATTTCTCTCCTCAGAGAAAAATCACACACCGGGGGTACTGCTCCTGCTTCCTGCACACCACACCCCTGCAGACTTCAGAAACGATTCCAGGCCAGGAGATGGACACGGCTTAGACCAGTTCATTGACCGAAAGACCGAAGAGATCCATTAAGAGTTCTGGAATCTGAACCTGAAGACTGGCTTCCCAGGAGTCAAAACATCATGTTACTGACGTGACAACTTAAAGCTCATTTACTTACCCCCAAGACATTCCTTCTTTTCGACTGTCACATCATACCTACAAAGGACATGCAACTCAACAGGTGTTTGTACACAGCGTATCATTCGAAGTATCCTGCTTTCTTAAAATACTGTAATATGGTTGCGTGTTGAGATACTGGCTGAAATGGTGCTGTAGTACCTGTAGCTGGAGTGAAGATGGTGCTTCAGCTGAGCGGATCCAGTAGAATGCCCAGCTGGATAAACCACTCCAAATGCAGAATTACTTGCAATAGGAAAATATGCTGAACTTATACAATAACAGAAAGAAATAAAAGGAGACATGTCTTAATAAAAAATAAAGTTACAGCAGTGACATCAGAATTCCGCTAGGTGGCAGCAAGCGTTATTTAATCTCACAGGCTGCCTGAGCCTTTCGAGTTTCAAAAGTTTAACCTCCGATAGCCCTCGACCTCAAGATATTATTCACCAAGCACCTCAAGAGAACTACCTGGAGGAAGGAAATATGGGATACAAAGGGGCAACTAAACTCAGCCCAGCTCAAATAGCAAAAATTCCTCAAAAACTGCAACCTGTCTGGCTTTAGGTACTGACAGCGTGCAGAAAGAGCTACTGTGACCCAGGGAAAGGTGTTGGGTAATGAGTGAATGAAGACTCCTCCTCCCTATAACAGCACAAAGTGGAGGAGAGGGGAGGGAGGGGGGTTAAATACTGGAGCTTGCCTTTAGTGATAGTTCAGTGACTCCAGTGAACAGGATGTCAAGTCATGCTTTAGTGACCACATTGACACAAAGTGACAGCAGAGGAAGGGAAAAGACTGTTAGAGGCAGATCTAAAGAGGGGAGGGGGAGGGGGATGGGGTGGGTACTATCTGTTCTTTTCCACTGAGCACTAACTGCTGGTGGAGCTGGCCATGTGCCCCTCCTTGCTACTGTATGTTCAATACCTTCCATTCCCCAAAAATAACATTTAAAACATCTTGGTCCGGCAGCCTCCCAGTGTCTCTAGACCTGAAGACGCAGAGATACTCTGGGTGAAAAGACACCCAAGAGCCCTGGTATTCCTGAAACTAAGGCAAGCTCGTCCTAACTAGGTGAATGCAAAACCAGTTTGCGCAGGTAAATTTCCTCAAAGCAACCAGTCAAGAGCAAAGTTCAAAGGTGCAGTATTGTTGTCATCGAGGTACTTTACCAATTAGAACAAGGGGACAAAATCATACGTAAACCTATATTTTAAGTCAGTCTGCTTCCTTACTAATGGATTATGAGTTAGGCTTATTGTGTTGCAAATCTTGCAATAGTTCTAGAAAAGGCTCCAAAACATTTGATTTCATCCTAATTTTAGCTCCACTACTAAGGTCATGCAAACTATCTGGCCACAGCTGTGTGTAAGGCTAGTGCCCACACAGCCAGGTGGAATCTCCAACTGTTTCACAGCTTCTTGGCATACACACGAGGAGGACAACGAGGATGGGCAGACGTACCCACCCGTTACAGTCTGCATTGTAGACCCTTTGAGCTGCACGGTGTGCGCCTCTCTCCCAGCCTGCCGCCACCCGGCGGCTTGCTGGAGTACAGATTTGTCAAGAGCCATGTGCTTCCTGGCCTCCAGCCTGGCCTGAGTGGCTCTACCGATTACGCCCAGCCATTTGGGAAAATCCCGGGCACTGTCTAGTGACATGACCCAGGCTCAGACCTGCAACACTGGGGAAGTAGTGACTTGCTGATGAGATTCTCCCTCTCAAAAGAGGTTGATGCATTGTTTCGATCAGAGCTCTGCCTTTGTCTCTTCATCGGTTCCAGTTGGACTCTGGCCCAGAATACACTGAAGTCTTCAGCCGTCTCTTAGTAATTCCAGCAATATATCTAGCTTGCCACTCCACATGGTGCACACAACACAAAGCCCAGTGCATTCTGAACTCCCACTGGCAGCTACCTGTTACCCTTCCTCTTACACAACACATGTTCTGCCACCTGATGGCATAAATATAGAGGTAAGAGGATGCCAGGACAAATAAAGCACCAACACTGAAGGGACTTGAAGTGTCCATCAGAGGCAACACAAGTTGCAGGACAGCAAACAGTAAAAAAACAAAAGAGACTTTTGAGCCATTCAGTTCACTATGCTACTCGTTGCTAATTAATCCCAGTTGATTGCTCAGGGGGACGTTCAAGCTCAGATGTTACTGCTTCCAGCTAGGGGGTGTGAAATTGTCCAACATGCAGATCACAACTGGTCCAGCTCTGTCCAGAGCCTACTGAACAGCCTGTGAGAACCGCACGGTCTCTCCAGTCCCTGCCAGCTCCCACAATGCCCAGTTCTGACAGGTGGCCGTGTCGCGGCAGTGCATGCACAAGTCTTTGCGTTCCTTGGGCAGTACCAGGGCTGCAGCAGGAGCCAATGAATGACTGGCTGTTGGAAAGGTCTAAGAACATGCATGCTGTTTTTTTAATGGGCCCCTCATTCTAAGGAGGACGACCAGCCCTACAGCAACATGTTTTGCAGTCAGTAACAGGAATGGTTCAGTGTGGGATAATGAGTTAAATAAAAAGTGGCACAGTGGTATAGAATCATTAAAGAATCGCCACCCCAAATACCAAAGCAGTCACTCACTCAGCATTAAATGCAACCTTCGTTGGAGTAAGAAAATGCCACCCACCGAGCTGGGCTGTCCCAGATGTGCTCTCCTTGAAATCCTTTTATGAATCCTCTTTCGGATTCAACAACTTCAAACCAGAACTACAGTTAATCACTGCAGCCGTAGCTCACCCTTCTGCGTCCCTTTTTTTTCCCTTTTCCTCCCACAAACGAGCAGCAACACTATTTTTATCCAATTTCTTCGCACTCCAAACAAAGAGGGCGAAAGCAGATGTTTCTTGCACGCTGCCCGATATAGCACTGCTGGGCAAACGGATCCCTCAGAGGCGAGAGAGAAACCTTCCTCGGGGTGAAGCTGGTAAATCTGCATTATTCGTACACGGAGCTGGACGAGATCCCTTCTTTAAACTTCTGCGAGCAGGATCGCTCACACCATGGCATTCAACAGAGCAGGGCGAGG